TAATAATGCATTGACAGGATTCATAAATAGATGACATATTTAACATATTTTCTCCTGTAACCTGGGTTGACAGTTTGGTGGTTACGACCGATGAACTGAAAGCAGAAAACTCTTCGTGCATGAAAGGCGCTTTTTTAATTTCGCAGTGTTTACTGTGCCCGAGGTGGTCTCTGTAGTGTTTGCACTGAAGCACCTGACTTCATCCTGTGTTCACAGAAAGCCTATTGAACCGATTAATCTGTATTTTTTTTCTTGAGGGAGTCGCATTGAAGCGTCTGTTTATTTGGTGTGAGTTTTGTTTGGACAGCAGCAGGTGCCTCATGGCCGAAGTATGAGACTTGACAGCCCTGAAGTATGAGTGGGAGATATTGTTGTCAATAGAACACGATTAGGAAGCTGACAAATGCATCTTCCAATAAGGGTGCTTGTAATAAGCACACAGACATGACTTGTTAATTAATAAGCTTTAGAGGAGCTGGTTGTTGGATCCTGTTACCGTTGGACAGAATCAGTCCACCACTGTGCATTATATCGAGTGTATTTTTCATAAAGATATTTGAGACAGAAACCGTGAAAGATCATAGAAAAGAAAATTAAAGGTAACCTAAGGAGAGTGGATTTGGAAAACCAGTGTTATTCCATCTCTGATCTTTAGGGGACTTCAGCTCGACCGTCTTTGATTTGCTGGAAACTTTTTTTTTTTTTTATCAACAGCAGTGAAAATTTAAAACGGTATTTGTGAGATTTTAGCTTGATATACTCAATACATGTGGTTTAGAAAATATCACCAGTTAGCTTCTGCGTTATACTTTTTTTTGTTGTTGTTGACGTGCGGCTAAAAATTAGACTTTTCATGGCAGCTCATTTTTCCACAAGTGTCCATATTGTACGTTGAAAAAGAAAAAGAAATTGTTGATGACTGGAAAACAACAAATTAAATCAGAGGCAGGTGACGGTAAGTTCTGGTGGAGAATGCGGGCAATCGTCTTTATTGTCAACCCGACATGTGGTTGTTCATATTTAAGCAGATTATTAGCGATTCATTTGTTTACCTTCTGAACAAATGCACCTTGTGCTTGTTTAGTCGGTCACTGTGTGCTCACTTTTGTTAAACAACAGTTTCTACGCTGTCATAAAAAGGCAAACTCATTATCCTGCAGGTGAACAACACGAGCTGCAGCATCAGAGGGTTCATAGTTATTACAACACAGCAGATAGTTTAAATAGTCTACACACATGCCATGAAAAGGGTTTTGTCTGAGTGTTGTCATCATCTGGAAATGTCCAGCATCTCCAGCTCATCACATGGATTTTCCTACTTTTACGATTTTTTGCCTTTGTGTTGTGTCAGGATACAGAAGGACGAGTCCCCTCAGACCCCCTTCATCATCATGTACCACGATGGGACCATCTCGTTTGAGGGGGACATGAAGGTGGTCAGCACCTGCAAGTTGGACGTCCACAAGTTCCCCTTCGACACTCAGAAATGCAGCATCTCCATCGGTTCCACGAGCCACTGCGGTGAGGAAGGGAGTTTGTGCGTTTCAGTCGGTGAAGTGCTGCCGTGATTTTATCGCCTTGTAGAAGTCGATAATGTAATAATGGCCGATAACATAATAATGGCCGATAACGTAATAATGGCCGATAACTAACAATGGCCGATAACGTAATAACAGCCGATAACGTAATAACAGCCGAAAACCTAATAACGGCCGATAACGTAATAACAGCCGAAAACCTAATAACGGCCGATAACGTAATAATGACCGATAACGTGATAATGACCGATAACATAACAATGGCCGATAACGTCATGGCGGCTGATAGCATAATAACGGCCAATAATGCATCAATGGCCAAGAACATCTTAAATTTGCCAACAAAAAAATAACGAAAAATTTTGGTTATTACATTTGCAAAGATTTTATTATTTTTTTTACCAGGCCAATATCGTAATAAATTATTACGTTACTGGCCAAAAGGTATTGCGCTATTGGTTCAGGACTTCCATTATGTTATTGCCCTATTACATTTTAAAAAGTGCAAATTTATCACGCTATCGACTGTTATTACGTTATCGACTTCTAGACTCTTTAATTTGCTTTTCTGTCTTGTCTCACTGCAGCGGATGAAATAAAACTCTTTCCTTTCTCAAATGCGTCTCGAGCAACGCAGTTTTCTCGAGAGCTGATGAAGACTCAGGGGGAGTGGGAGTTCGTGCAGCTGTCCATCACCAACAGCAACTTCACCTTCGACAACAAACTGTGGGACCAGCTCTCGTACACTGTACGCATTATTATTATGAGAATACAGCAAACAGAATAAGCGAGAACACAGAGAAGTAGTTTGGTATCCAGATCTCTGCCTAAATAAACACCTAATTAGGAGGTTGTAGAGCATCAAATGAGGGAATGTCTTTTATTTTCTTGTAAATCTCAGGAGGGAAAGAAAAACAAGCCTGTGGGGACTCATTTCTAATTTGTGTTCTCAAATGTCTTGAATTGTGCATCACTTCTTTACATAATTACATACATAACTTGTATATCTTTCTTATCTCCGAAAACTTGACCAAGTATGTCCCTTTTTACCTTCGTTTTGGTGTAGAGTGTAAATAACTCAGTAACACTGACCTGTAGATTTGTCTTTAACATCGTGCTTAATCCTGGATTAGGTTTCCAATCCCAGCGATGTTGAGGTTTGTGTTGGTCGACGCATTCTGACCCCTGAATCTGTTTTCTCAGTTCACCATGAAGAGGAGGCCGCTCCTCCACGTCATCAACTTCCTGCTGCCCATCCTCTTCTTCCTCACTCTGGACCTCGCCTCCTTCTTCATCTCCGACCGCCGAGGGGAGAAAATGGGCTTCAAAGTCACCGTGCTGCTGGCCATCTCCGTCCTGCTGCTCATCCTCAACGACATCCTGCCCTCCATGTCCAACAAGACTCCGCTCATAGGTACGGACCGACGCGGGGCTGTGATGTTTACCTGCACCGGAACAAAAAGTAGTTACTTCCTGTTTCCTCCTCCCAGCGACCTACTGCATTGTGATTTTTGCTCTGATGCTGCTCAGCCTGCTGGAGACGATCTTGGTCACGTATCTGATGGAAAAAGAGTCTCAGGACAAGCTCAGGCTGAAGGACGACGGGGAGGGCAAGGAGGAAAAAGTCAAAACCGACGACTGTAATGACGGTGAGAGCCTCGATATCGACAAGAAACTTAACAGATGCTCCCGGAAAGGACTTTTCTGGCTGCTGATGCTAGTTTTAATCCGGCTTTATAAGAATCTACGGTGTCCTATGAGGAGAAGGAGTGAAATGTTTTTTCAGGTGTAGACATTTAGACTCAATATTTCATATAAAGTCCACTGTCTTTTTCATTTTTGTTCATATTAATGAGTTTTTATTGACACACGGTGACATCTGTGCACAGAGACAAACATAGAAATAGATAAAAATCGTAAACTTGGCAAGTAAATATACGTTTTTAACGCTGAGGCCAAAGTTTATCGTCCAATATGAAGCTAGCTTTGTGTGTTTCCATCAACGCTGCATTTGAAGCAACGTCTGCTTAATGTCTGTGCTCTGTCTTTGTGATGACAGCTGTTTGCTCAGCGTTACCAAAGAGACACCAAACCCCACCTGTACTGTCCCGATGAAGCAGTCTGGACATTTTTCTGGTTCTTCTTAGTCGTTAACAAGCAGCCTTGTGATGCTTACATGCAGCAGAACTGTGGATCTCTGTTGTCGTTCTTCTAGTAAAACTTCTGTGTCTTTTTTCAGAGGATAAAAAGCAGAACTGCTGTTTGTGCGTCTGTGCTGTGCCTGCTGGTGAGAAACAACACGAGCTGCTGCCTGCTGTCGAAGAGGTACAGAGTTATACATACAGACGCTGTGTTATGGCTGCAAGCCCAGTGACCGAATTCATCCAGTGTGCATGCCATTAAAAGGTTCTTTCCAACTTTACACGATCCTAACAGGTTAATCCTTTGAACCCTGTTACTCACACATGTCTACTGCAAACCGCTACTCCTGGAATTAACACTGCATTATAAGTAAGTGATTGATCGTAACAACTGGACTTGCTTTAGTTCCTTGAAGATGTTTCATCCAAGAGGCTTCATCAGGTCTGACTGACTAGTTGGGAGTTCCAGATATCCTTAAGGAGCCATTAACACCTGAGTTTTGGTTTCGATTGGAGGTTTGTTGCTCCTCCCCCTCGTTATGTGAGTCGTTAGTGCTCCCCCTGACACAACGGGGTTCGTTAGGTTCCTTTGTGGCTCGGTGGGGATGTGGTTTCATCTTCCTGGGGAGACTTCATCTTCCCTAGTCGGTCAGAACTGGATGAGAGGTGAAATGTCTTCAAGGAACTCAAGCGAGTCCGGTTGCTACGATTAAACTACGAGAATAACCACGACCTGGATGACTGAGAATCTTCACAGACATGGATTATAAGTGTTTACCTTCCGATCGGTGTGAAGAAGATAACGCCGTTGTTACTGTGATAGAAACTGTGCCTGTGAGTTTTACAAAGTGTCTGATGAGCCTTTAAATGCTACTAGAACCAGACTTCTTGGATTTTATTTCATTCTATCAGTGAAAACAACAAAAATAACAGAAGACAGATTTCAGGCTTCATCGTTCTGACTAATCTAACTCTCTGTGCAGGTCAACAGCAGCGTTCACTCAGGAGAGTCCTACGTGCTGCTGCTGATCCTGGAGGAGCTGAAGCAGCTGCAGAAAACTCTGAACCTGCACCTCGGCTGCAAAGCAGACGGAGGGAAGTCCGCCCGCTGGGCCGCCAGGATCAACAAGGCCTTCTTCGTTTTCTACCTTCTCACTGTGTCGCTCTTTCTGTGCTTCATGTACATCCAGTGGAACTCTTAGAAACGTGGGACGGCTCCTTGTGATGCTCGTGTTTTAGATCGTCGGTGTCTGAACATGATGTGGTAGCTGAGAGAGTCAGTAGGATCGCTGGTTTATATTTTGTGAGCAATGTCGACGCACAATGCAGGAAATAAAAAAAAACACAGATTCTTTCATGTATTGGCGATTATGTGATTTAGCATTTTAAACTTTTCCATGGTGGCAAAACTGTGCTCTAGATGATTTATTCGTTTGTGCGTTGAGGTAAACGTCCCTGCAGCGGCCAGTCCAGTGCATTGTGTTTAATCAAAGTGTTGTTTGCAGCCTCAGATAAGCTAAATGCTGAATGTTGAGAAAGTAGAACAAGAAAAACAACAGCTGGAATCAGCAAAATAAAGAAGTCATATGATGTCAAATTAGATGATTTTTTGTTGTGTCACTGGTTTACAGGGTTTATTGCCTGAGTTTACAGGTTCACCCACATTTTATTCACCATGTTGTGGTGAATTGATCCACGTAATTCAACAAAGCTGCACAATCACTGCACTCAGTTTGTTTTACTGGCTGTGACTTCCTGCTGTGTTGAATCAGTCTAAAGGGGCTGAATGCTTCTGTAGTCACTTATTTTACATTTTACATTTTTAATTAATTGACATCACTTTTCACTTTGACATGAAAGAGTCTTTTTTTTGGTAAGTTCTTGTTAAAACCCCGCCAAAACAAAACCAAAACATTAAATTGAACTTGTGTAGTTTTTGGAAACACAAGTGCACGAAAACACAAACTGAAAGACCGTCTTCTGTCTGACTCTGTAATCCTTTATGTTGTTTCTCCGTTAGATCTCCGCCTCCGGTCCTGCATCAGCCCTCTTTCGCCTCACAGCTCATCCGTCTCTCACACTTTAAACCGATCAGGTTCGTCCTCAGCAGCCTGATGTTCTCTGTGTTATAAACCTGTCATGAAAAAACAGACCTGCTGTCCATCACAGTGAGGATCTGCTGTTGTTACACTCGTCTCTACACTAGTTGGTCAGTAAATCTATTCACTGTCCCCTTGTTTTGTTGTTGCACCACATTCAGTCAGTCGATATCTTTTTTAGCAATGCCACTGAGCACATATATTTATATCAATAGACAGTTTACTGGAGTTTGCTGATAAAAGAGCATCAAGCTGATTTCTGCCCTCTGCTGGACCAAAACTGAACTTCACTCTGCACATTTTTAAATTCAAGCAGGTCTTTGCTTAAAGCTTAGTTTTTTTTCCCCCCACATATGACAATTAAAAGTTGAATTATTGATTAAAAAACTAAAATATCTGATGGTGGTTATTTTAGATTCTGGAAGACTGAACATCCTTTGAGCACATTTTAACCGTAGAGCCGCAGAAGTGGACGTCTCGCCTGATAACTGGCGTCCCATGTGGACACTCTCGAGCTAATGCAGCCGTCCATGTGTGGATTTCATTATGTCGGGTTCAGATTACAGAGTGTGAGATTGGAAGAGAGCATCAGAAACGACATTTGATATCGTTTTTATCATGTTTAGCGTCTCCTACGCTGATCAGCCACAACATAAAGCCACTAACTGGTGAGGAGAATAACACTGGGCATCTTGGTACAAAGGATTCATGTGGATTTTACTCTGACTTGTATCACCCTAAGGCGTTCTTTTGGAGGCCTTCAGTGAGGACGCCTGACGATGGGCTCGACTGTTCTGGGATAAAAAGACAAGATGAACATCAACCTTATAACTGTAGTGATGGCCAATGGCAGGTAAACCATATCCCAGGCAAGGAAATATTCACTCTAGGAGAATAAAAGGGTTGACTAAGATTTCAGAGCACTGAACAGCAAATGATAAGAAAGAACTCACCTCCTGGTTCTGGATGGATGATCTTTTTGTCTCATGACAGATATGTGTCCTTTGGCCGACTGTATGTTTTCTTTTGTTTTTAAAGGATCTATCTGCAGAAACTGCTCAGGAACCAGGTGAGGAACATAACAAACAACTATTTTAGGGGCACGAGGCGAACCTACATAAAATGAAGCGAGTGGTTTTAATGTTGAGGTTCATTTGCGTCGTTGACGACAACCGAGGTCCTCGAAAGTGTTAATTCCATTAACTATGATGAAAAATATTTGTTGTCAACATGTTTTTTGTGCTGAAAACTAAACTAAAAGTACGCTGCAAAAACTAATAATTCAAGGCTGGAACAAAAGATTAATTTTTGTCAACACTTAAAAACTAAACGATGATGCTCAAGACAAACAAATGGATGAACGAATCGATCAGTGTTTTATTGTGAAGCGTGGCAAATAGGTTACAACAAAAGAGAGGAGACGACAGGCATTGCCAGAAGAAAGGGCTATCTTTTATGAATTAATATCATCAAACTGAGATGTGTACATCAGTGATATCAGCAGTGTAGGTGCAGATGGATGTGATGCGGTGCGAGATGTTGTCTGATATAGAGACACAAACCAAAACGACAGCGTGGCTGTAAATCACAAGCATGACGAGAGCGAGCAGGAGCTGAGGGGTTTGGCCCTTTTGTAACCTGGGAGCGCTGGGTCCAAGAGCGTCAAGCAGGCAGGACCGCCCAGTCAGCCTCCAGCAGTTTAGGGACCTGAGGAGGCAAAACACAGACAGCCAAGGTGCCCAACCAACATGCTGGGTGGGGCCATCAGTGACCTGTAACGTTTATGAAATCACAACCTGCAGCTCCAGATGAAAGTTTCCTCCAACGACTAAAATGAGTCTTGTTTAGTAGATTTATCAGTTTAACTTGTTGTATAGCTCCTTATTAAACTCTTTACATTCAGTAACATGATGTGTCAGTCAGCAGGAGATTTTTTAAGGAGCTGATTTGTGAACTGAACTAATGATGAAAAGCGGCGACAACACAGCTGAGACAAACTACGAACATGAAGGCTGACATTTATAAAAACTTAATCTAACGCTGATGATACGATGCAGGTTGTAGCAGAATGTAAAGAAAACCTGCAGAATAGTCCTTTTATTTCTACCTGGCAGGAAGGAGGAAGTGAGGCGATCAATCAAACACACCTGAGCTGAGCTGCTGCTAACAAAGGAAGCATGAAGGACTGTTGAAGGGAAGAAGAACTTTACCGTTTGTGGTTAACTTTAAAAGAGTAATAGATGAAAGTACATCTGAGTAGTTCAGGAATCCACAACCAGCTGGATGTGACTAATTCCTGGTCAGGAACAAACTGCAGGTTATAGACGGATCCCATCATCAGGACTGGATGTGTGTCGTTCCTCGTCTTTGGCTGTCTGTTGTTGGATCCTGGTTCAGATAAGTCTACTAGCTTTTATTGTTTCCTCAGTTTAAGGTGCATAATTGATCCTGCTAGCCTCTCCGGCCCTCACCGATGCTCACAAACCCGACACAAACTCACCCACACCTCTCAGAACTGAAGTTCACTGAAACAAACTGATCATCACTTAAACTGACATTATTTGTAAATTATTTCTTAAAAACCGTTTAATTGTCTTCATCAGGATTCTGAATTTGCTTTTTTTCTGTGTCTGATGTTTAGATGGCATTCTGTTGCTTTAGAGGGCTTTTGTCAATGAGATTTTTGATTCTTAATTTACACGTTAAGTGTAAAACAAACAAACAAACAACAAAAAACAGGCCAAAATTGCCAAAAACAATCAGAATCAAAAATCTACTTTTTGTTGTTTTTTTCCTAATAATTATTTGTTCTTTTACAGTGTGTCACCATAAACATGACAACATGTTACTGTGCTTTTAGTACCTCAGAAATCTTCTTATTATGTATGTTATTAGATACAGGTCCTGTCGCTTTTACATCTTTTTTTGTGGCACCTCTGCCGCCAGATTTTCATAATTTGTTTCATCATTTGTTTTCTGCAGTGCAGAGTGAGATATACTGATGCTCCCTCAGTCATTTTTCTTTATTATTGTCATGCATTTAAGAACTTCAAACCCGTGGTGTCCAGATTTCAGAGCGTATTTAGCAACCAGACTGAGAATAAAGGGTGAACATGTGTTTTTTCACTGATGTTCCTTCAGCTTCCTTCAGCTGTGGCTCAGGTGGTAGAGCAGGTTGTCCTCCAATCACAAGGTTGGTGGTTCGATCCCCCTCCACAGTCGAAGTGTCCAGTGGGCAACACACTGAACCTGAAGTTGCTCCCAGTGGCAGGCAGCACCTTGCATGGCAGCTCTGTCACCATTGGTGTATGAATGTGTGTGTGAATGAGAAACACATTGTAAAGCACTTTGGATAAAAGCGCTATATAAGTGCAGACCATTTAGCTTTGGAACAGCTTTGTCCTGACTGTGGGACATCAGCGAGTCACTCCTGCTGTTCTTATTGAACTATATAGTCATTGTATTTCAGCTGTGCAAGCTTTGCTCTTTAGCTGGCACTTTATCTGATTTATATGAACTTATTTCTTTAGTTGCATTTTCTTTTATTTACATTTTTCACTCATGTGTCTTAATTGCATTTTATTTGCACCTTCATCTGTTTGTGTTCGGTGACGTTCATGTCGAGTGCGTCGCATCTTCCAGCTCTGTAATGTCATTATCCTGGAAAGCTCTTTGCACTTTGTACATGTGAAAGTGCCACATAAATAAAAGTAATTATTCTTTAACAGTCATTACAGGCCATTTTTCCTTCCACTCCTGCAAACACTGTGACCCCTGTGGGAGCATCCGCCGTCCGCAGATGATGGCTGTTAGACTAATGAGATTACAAAAAAACTCTCAAAGGATGCGTGATCCGGTTTGCCCGGCCCTCTTCCAGTATTAGGGGATCGTGTTATTACCACAACAGGCTCGGTGACATTTCCAGACAGCGCTGAGAGGACAAGGACGCACGCTGACTCCACAGATTTTGGATTTTCAGCCGTCATGATGCTCGTCGGCCTCCTCGCTCTGCTTTTCCTCTCAGGTAGGTTTGGATGAAGTTTGGAGAAAAGCTAAACTTCATTCCTGAACATTCTGTGTAGATTTAAGTTTTTAATTTAAGGGTTAGGAAGGTTAAAGCTCTGCTGAGTTTCAGAGATGCTCTGGTTGTCATAGTAACCTGTCACTGCTGATGAATCAGAATTTTAGGGATTTACATCGGTATCAAAATTTGCATTTGTTTTCCTCACATCATTTAAAAAAACAACATCTGAGTGACAACAGATGAGGAAAATGTGTTGACTTTTACTAGAACAGCTCCTGTTTAGTGTAACGTTGAGTCACATTTAAACTGAAATGAGAAACTGCTCAAAAATCATTAGCGCGCTGAGGAGCTGAAATGCTGCGAAGCCGCCAACGCCCATCTCATAATGGCCTTTCAGTGACCGCAATCACTGGATATTACTGCAGGTAATTGTGAGCTGGTGTTCTTTCATGGTTTAATTATGAATTCAGACACCAGCCCACAGAGACTGATGTCATTTTTTTGCACATGAACAGAAACTGGTGTCCACATGAACTCCAATGAAGGAACATGTCTTTGGTTTTTGCAGGAGCTGGAGCGTCCTCTGAGCAGAACTGCAGCTATCAGGACGTGTTAAACCACCTGAACATGACCAGAAACAACGAGCTGTACTCCATGACCCGACCCGTTAGAAACTACAGACGCCCCACACGAGTGTCCCTGGAGGTTCTGCTGTACGCCATCCTGGATGTGGTGAGCTGTTGAAGCTTCATTTATCCATGTTTCAAAAGACAGTTACAACATTTACTTGTGTCATGCATGTGGACTGCATCTGCACAGAGTCAGAATGCTGTCAGACAGGAATGAGTGCATGCTTTAGGAAACTGTCTGTGGCTTCAGCATCGAATCTACAATGAAAACCTTTGGTCAGAAAGATCCTTTTAGCCTTCGGTGATCAGAGTAAAGAGGATTCTCTGTGATCCTTCCACTGTCCTGCCAACACAGAGCTTAGTGGTGGTTTAATAGCTCCGTTGTGTCTTTATCAGTCTGAATTTTAAACAGTAGCTTAAACCAACGCAGAGAGAAGATGTGCTGCAGGAGTAAACCACAAACGCCTCCATTTCTGTGTCTGGTTTTATTATTTTGCAATCATTTACTGTCTTGATGAGATGATGACTAGATGATTTATGACAGCAGTCTGAGGTGAAACGGGATGTTCTTTCTTTCTTTCTTTCTCGTTCACTTCTGAGAGGTTAAATATAACTTCCGATCTTCCATTGCCATCAGATTCCTGCAAAGGAAGCAAAGAAGTTTAATTTAAATCTCTCATCCCAGAGTATGAACTGTTCCTCTGAGTGTGCAGACGACCTTAAAATGAACTTTCTGTTGAGGACACTCAGTGACGCTGCTGCTGATGTTTTTGCTGTTCGTTGTGTCTGGAATGGTTTTCTCACACATTCATTTCTTTACAGGTTGAGAAAGACCAGAAATTCATTCCTTATGTTTGGACTGTCACGGTGAGTTCTGTCAGGAGACGATGACGACTGACATTTTTGAGCTTCGTTGAGAAACTTTAAACTGTTATTCAAGCATTTTAGCACGTTGCTTCTTCTTCTCCTCTGCAGAGGTGGCACAACGAGTACATTTCCTGGGATCCAAATCAGTTCTGTGGAATCGATAACGTTTCTCTTCCAACTGAGATTCTGTGGAAACCAGATCTCACTATTGAGGAAATGTAAGTCTAATTGTATCGGCAGACACGTGTTTGTGAAGACACCAGCTGACGTGTTCCTCAGCTCCTTAGCCTCACCATTAAGTGTATGTTCATTAACTTGTGACATGATGTGAAACTATGCTCCAAACTGGACGTCTGTGGAGACACTCGTGCACAAAATCACAAATCCTGCACAGTCCGTGATGCTCGTTCCATCAACCAGCGGTGATGTTTCTGTCAGAGGGTAGATGGAGCTGATGCAACACACTCACTCCTACAATCACGTGTGTGTGTAGGAATGTTTTTATCCTGATGTGCAAGTAATGTTACTAAATAATAAACAAATGTTGGTATGGAGGCGTGGCCAAGGTGCCGACTGACCAATGATGTCACACAGGTGAGAACAGGTCTGCACCGTTACCTCACCAGGAACTCTTAAAGAGGTTGAAAGAAGATGAGGAAACAGAGAGACACAGCGGAGACTCAGATGACTAAGGCTGAAATAAGGTTTATCAGGAGAACAGTTTATGCAATGCCAGCATCAGTTCTGAGGATTCTCTCGTACCTTAGATCTTAAACCGTCCTTTGGTGGGAAATCATATCTAGATTTATGGATGGAAGGGAACACATGAAGATAGCTCGGCACCTTGAGAGGTACAGGGAGGGCCTATAGATCCTATAGAAGATGTGTAGACTGCTCTGTTATAGGTTTTATAGACTGATGTCATACGATCTCCATTTAGAGAGGTCAGGAGAAGTTCAGAGGATAAAAGTTCATCTTCAGAGGCTTAACTACAGAGAGAGGGCCAAGTCACACAGAGTAGGCGTCGTCTAAATATTAAAAAATATATAATAAAAATCTTAGCCCCACTTGATTCAAAAGCAGCGTATTTGTCTACATTGACCACATCTGGTTTTAGTTTGGTTTAGTTTTTTAACGATTTACTGTAATGGGACAGAGTTTCACAGTTTTGTTAAATTGCAGATAATGAGTAAAACCAAAAAAACAAACAACAAAACAAAAAAACTGACCAAAACTATAAATTACATCCACATCAGAAATCTGTATTTTAAAGTAAAATCAGAATTTTTTTTAGAATACGCTTGCGCAGTTTAATTTGATTTAAATTCCACCCTCCGTCTAAAAATCCCCCCCAAAAAACAAAAAGACGACCTCACAGATATTCGTCATTATTTTCACTTGCAGCTTCTTTTTTTCTTTTTTCTTTTTTTTTTTTTACAAGTTTTGTTCTTTCCAGTCTTTAAGCCAAGCAGTGTTGCAACATCCAGTTGATAAATGATCAGTGAATACCATAAATATACCAAATAAACAGCAGAACAGGCATTAGTTGCTCTTATCACTTGTTCTCTGTGGCATCATTATCTCATCGTAGATTAATGGCACAGTAAACCTTAATCCCTCCAACAGATATCTGCTTTGTTTATGGGGACATCTGCTCCAATTAATAGACATGTTCCTCCCTCAACACTCATCAATGCGATCTTTTTAGCTCATGACTTGATTGTAGGAAAAAGAGTGGCCACAGTTTGGATCTGTGGGGGGTGCAGTTCATCGGCAAAACGAACAAAAATTAAATCTTCTAGATACCTGCTTGTTGGTATATGCTACGAGACAAACTCTAAAAGGGGTGGATGTTCTTGTCTTCTGATATTCTGGCCTGTTTCAGTGGATCAAATAGCTACCTGCAGTTTGAGAAGCACCTCTAATGTCTGCGTTTCCACACAGGACCGAGAAGGACAAAGCCCCTCCGAGCCCTTACCTCAGCATCAACGATAAAGGTTACGTTGAAGTCCAGAACGACCAGGTGCTGGTGAGCACCTGCAGGATGCACATTTACAAATTCCCCTTCGACATTCAGAGCTGCAGCCTCTCCTTTAAATCTGTCATACACACCGGTGAGGACATGTTTATTATTGTGCTAATGGATGAATGGGTTAGAGTTGCTTTATATGCAGTCTAATGTCTTCAGCTGCAGCTGTTTCTCACAGTGAAGATCTACTACGAGGTAATTAAATACACCACTCATTAGGCAGAATCGATGATCATTAATAATGCAAGCTCTGCGTTAACAGCTTCTAATCTTTCAAGCCTGATTTATGCTTCCCATGTCTGCATATGGGCTGCTAGGTGGCGCAGTTGGTAGCACTGTTGCCTCACAGGAAGAAGGATGTATTCATTTCTCCAGATATCCTGTGCTGTGCTCGTCCACTCTGTTAAACACACCTCAGGAATAATCTCACTGACAAGGTGCTACAGCACCGTCTGTAACCAGCTGTGAAACGTGTGGAGTCACAGCCAGCCTTCCAGAAACGTCCACCGGACCCCCACAGAGGTTTCAAAGATACCATTAGATTGATTTGTACCCTGTTGTCGAATAAACAGAATCACTGCCTGCTTTCAAAGTCTGCATTAGTCATGTAGGAAACCATTCATTGGTTTTCAGGTCCAGCTGCTGCCCATTGTTTACATCAAGATTTTAAAGAACAGGTTTGTCATTAACTCTGCTGTCTCCAACAACCTCACAGTTCTTTCCATCTTCACCTTCAGCCAAAGACATTCGACTCCAGCCCAGTGACAACTCCTCGGAGGCCACAGAGTGGTCTCGTGACCTGATGAGGACTCAGTACGAGTGGCTCTTCATCAACATGACGGTCACCACAAAAAACGCCACTGATTTATTCGACCAGGACGTCATTGTTTACACTGTATGTATAACTACATACACACACACACACACTGGCAGAACTATGTATTATTGAACCATTCAAGTGCAAACAGCTGTATGTTTGAGCTTCAACAAGAGACAAAATATTTACTTTTACACTGTTGTATGCTACATTAACCTCATGAATCATCTACTTAATCATGTCTGAAGATTCTCAGTCATCCAGGTTGTAGATTAATCATAGCAACTGGACTTACTTGAGTTCCTTGAAGACGTTCCACCGCTCATCCAAGAGGCTTCATAAGTTCTGACTGACTAGTTTGGAGTTCCAGATACTTATATCCTTAAGGAGCCATTAACACCTGAGTTTGGGTTTCAGTTGGGGGTTTGTTGCTCCTCCACCTCTTTATGTGAGAGGATGGATGAGAGGTGAAACATCTTCAATGAACTCAAGCAAGTCCAGTTGCTACGATTAAACTACGAGTATCGACTTAATCAGTTTATTACACTGCGTCTGGGAAGTTTGATGATTCACCTGAATCTTACACCTAATGTCTCAGATCACCATGAAGAGGAGGTCGCTCCTCTACATCGTCAACTTCTTGGTGCCCGTCCTCTTCTTCTTGTGTCTGGACTTGAGCTCCTTCCTGATCTCAGACAGCGGCGGTGAGAAGCTCAGCTTCAAAGTCACCGTGCTGCTCGCCGTCACAGTGCTACAACTTATCCTCAATGAAATCCTGCCGGCCTCATCAAACAGGATCCCACTAATAGGTAAAGAAGCCCAGAGTCTTGCCTTCATAGCAGAGCAGGAACAGCACCTGCTGACTAAATCAGTAGTTATTTCTCTGACATTAATGATTCTGCCTGTTGCCCTCAGCGGTCTACTGCATTGGGATCTTTGCTCTGATGCTGCTCAGCCTCCTGGAGACCATTGTTGTGATGTATCTGATGGAGAAAGACTCTGTATCCCAAAACAAAGAACCAGACAGAAACCAAAGCCTGGAAGAAGACAAACACGGCAAAGCCAACCTCCACAGCTGTCATGAAGGTGAGGCCAGAAGACAGTTGCACAAAGTTCAAAATTCTATTAGTATTTTGTAGAGATTAGAGCATCTATATGTTTAATGTGGGAATTTACTTTTACTTTGCTGCCACTTTATTTTACAGGACAATAGCCATAGAAAACTGACACCATCAGCATTTAGATTTAGATGTTCAACACCTATGTTAAGGCTAACACTGCTCCAAGCCCTCTTTCCATCTTTTCTCACTATTTGCACACAAGGTCCTCAGATCTTTAAGCTCCTTTACTGGATTGAGCAGCTCAGCCCAACCTAGAGAGAACAATCCACCAGTTTCCAGCAGAGAACCATGACTTTAGACTTGGAGGTGCTGAGTCAAATCCCGGCTCCTTCACACTTAATGTGCACTGAAGGTTGTGGTCTGATGACGCAAATAGAACTATGTCATCTCCAAAAAGCAGAGATGTGACTCTGACGTTCCCAAACCTCCATCCTCCAACTGCACCTTGAGACTACGTCAGTGAGAATCACAAACAGGACAGTGGACAAGGTCTAACACCCACCAGAAATGTGTTTGTGCCAAGAATACAAACACAACTCTC